AAAACACGCCCTAAACTAGCACTACGGTTTATTAGCCCCTTCCGAATCCGAGAACCGAAGGGCAATAGCTAGGCCTATTAGTTATAGCTCCTACTATACTATACTATCTATAATACCTTCTATATCTCCCTCCTTAAACTATACTACTACCGCGGAGACTCTAATAAAGAAACCCCTACTAAACATAAAGAGATACTAGCTAACGGTAAAGAGCTATAGTCTATAGAACGTATCCTAAAGCACCGAACTAGGTAGGGCAAGAAGGAATACCTATTAAAGTAGCAAGGCTATTTACCTAAATAGGACTCGTAGGAAGCTAAAGCCTCTTTTAAAGACATAACTAAGTTGTTAGATAAGTATTAGACTAGTATAAAGAACAAGAAGAAGGCTAGGGGCCTATAATGTTACTAGAAGGCCTAGGATTAATACTACCCCTAGGGTGCTATTAGCTAACTAATTAGAGGCAAGCAATTGTTAGTAACGAAGGATAATAAAACTACACTACTATAGTAGATACGCACCGAGCGTTAACAAACGCGCTATAACTATTAACTAATCGCTTGCTCTTTTAAGGAATCTACCTCTTTACTAGCGTACCCTATAAGACCCTCCTCTTAGCGCCCCTTTTATTTCTACGTCCTATCGAGGCTCTAAGGCCTAGGCGGTCGGTAGAGGCGGTGCGTACGCGTAGGCGAATAGTGTTAGTAATAATAATAATAACGACGGCGTTACGCTTATACTAAAGGGCGACACGGCCGGCGCGGCTATATTAGTAACGGTATTGCGGAGTGTATTATTTGTCGAAGAAAGAAATCGGAAGCAAGGTAAAGTTAGCGCTAAGACGACTAGCGCCGCTATTGTTAATATTGCCTGCTCGCTACTATTACTAACCTTACTTATTGTCGCTATATCTACTAAAACAACCTTACCTACGCTACGAGCCTAAAGCACTATACTAACTAAGTTAAAAGATTAAACCTATTAAAGGTTTAATTAAAACTTTAACTAAGTTAAAAGATTAACGCTTAGAAGATTAAGTAAGCTAACTAAGGGCAAAAATATAGAGCTAAGCTAGCCGGGGTCGATCTTATAGATAATAGGTTACTCCTCGATCTTTCCGACCCTTTAAGCGAAGCGAACCTTAACTATTATACTTATAATAGCCTTTACCTATAGAAACTAGACGAACTGCGTTTTTGAAAAGATAAGATAAGATTAACAGTTAAAGGCTGCTAAACCTAACTAATTAGGGCTAGTAAAACTACGATAGTAAATAATAGTCCTCGTAATAATAAGAACGAACCCTCGGAAGCGGACAACCCTCGGAAGCGGACATTTCTAGGTCTTTTAGAGTAGACGTAAAGAACTCGGAACGACATTACTTAGAGCGGAGGCAGTGCTATAATACCTCGTACGTCTACCTATTATAGTAGGGAAGACGCGCTCGTATTATAATTAGTCGATAGTCCTTAATTCTCGTAGTTATATATTACTTTATTATATATAAGGATAGCGCAGTTAGAGTTAGATATTATATAGGAAGGTAAGGTTTAACATAGTTATATAATTAGGTAGTTAAGTATTTAATTTAGCGCGGGCTAAGCAGCTTATTAGACTTGCTAAGTTAGTAGCAATAGAGGTCGTAGAATATAGACAGGCTACGAGGGCGCGGCCTTTAGAAGGGGAGCGTATATTAGGGCTAAAGAGGCTACACGTAATTAGCATATAACTAGGCTAAGTAAAGCTAGGGTCTTAGTGCCTTAGGTAGGGCTTAGCGCTTAGCGTTAGGCTAACTAGCCTGCCTTCCTCCTTCTCCTCCTAGATCTCTATCGAATACTACTTATACCTACTACTACCCTATCTACCTACTAATATAACCCCTATTATACTATTATTAATATTACCTACTCGCTACTATTGCTAACCTTACTTATTATCGCTACTATACCTATAAAAACAATCTTACCTATACTACGCTAACTAAGTTAAAAGATTAAGCGACTAATAGACTAACTAAGGGCAAAAATATAGAGCTAAGCTAGCTAGGGTCGATCTTGCGGATAATAGGTTACTCCTCGATCTTTCCGATCCTTTAAGCGAGGCGAACCTTAACTATTACACTTATAATAGCCTTTACTTATAGAAACTAGACGAACTGCGTTTTTGAAAATAAGATTAATAATTAAAGGCTGCTAAACCTAACTAATTAGGGCTAGCGAAACTACGATAGTAAATAATAGCCCTTGTAATAATAAGAACAACCCTTAGAAGCAGACATTTCTAGGTCTTTTAGAGTAGACGTAAAGAACTTAGAACGACATTACTTAGAACGGAGGCAGTGCTACAATACCTCGTACGTCTACCTATTATAGTAGGGAAGACGCGCCCGTATTATAATTAGTCGATAGCCCTTAATTCTTATAAATATATATTACTTTATTATATACAAGGATAGCGTAGTTAGAGTTAAGCATTATATTACGTTAGAAGGTAAGGTTTAATATAGTTATATAATTAGGTAGTTAAGTGTTTAATTTAGCGCGAGCTAAGCAGCTTATTAGACTTACTAAGTTAGTAGTAATAGAGGTCGAGATTAGAATATAGATAGGCTACGAGGGCGCGGCCTTTAGAAGGGAAGCGTATATTAGGGCTAAAGAGGCTATACGTAATTAGTATATAACTAGGCTAAGTAAAGCTAGGGTCTTAGTACCTTAGGCAGGGCTTAGCGCTTAGCGTTAGGCTAACTAGCCTACCTTCCTCCTTCTCCTCCTAGATCTCTATCGAATACTACTTGTATCTACTACTACCCTATCTACCTACTAATATAACCCTTCTTATATTAGCTATCGAGTTTCGAGATATAGTTTAAAGTAGCTACCTGCTTCTTATACCTAGAAAGACAAATAGCTTTCTAGAAGGCAACGAGGTATAGGTAGCTAGTATCTCGGATACGAGTTATAAGTATCTACTATTACTAAATAGTTAGCTTTCTAGGTCTAGTATATAGGCTCTCGAGTACTTCCTTAAATACCCGTAATACTAGATTATTACCTTACTAACGTTAAGCGACGTTAATTTAGATAGTCTTATCGAAGAGATACTAGATATAGCGACTAAGAACGACTTTAGGGAAGTTAATTAAAGTAGGTCTACTAAAGAGCGGTCGCCTACTAATTAGAACTAACTAACGAAAGTTGCTATATATATAAATACTAAAACTACCGAACGGTATTAAGATATCGATATTAGTATCTTCTTAGTTAGCCTACGAATAGCTCGAGTCCGATTATTATCCGACTTATTATAGCCGCCTATCGATCTAATATAACTAAACTAAGTTAATTCTAGACTTTTCGCCGATTATAATATAGAAGATTAAGATCTTACTTATAAACTCCTAGAAAGTAGAGAGTATATTTCCCTTAAGAGGAACGTACGCTTTTATAGTTAATAGTAAGTAGAAGGCGGAGTAAATAGTAGATCCCTTATAGTACCGCTAGGAGCAATATATATAATTAGGTTATTAAGCTTATATTCTATAAGACTACTCGTATTATATTACTTCGCGAGACCTTTAATAGTAGAAAATAGTAATTTAACAATAAAAGACTTACTAAATCTAGTTTTACTATTAATTTTTAGTAGTATTAAGACTAGAACAGTATTTCTATTAATTATCCTATTAGTATAACTATAAATCCGGCTATACTAAACTCGCTACTCTAGCGACAAACCTATAACCTTATACTATAAGTTAGCGTCGCGATCTAGCCGAACTTCTAATAGTCTATAATACTATAATATACGTTCTCCTAATCTTTTATTTATCTAAGGCTATGTCGTCTAATATAAGGTATCTAGTCGTAGTCCCTATCTATCTAATAGTTAATACTAAGGTTATTTAGATCTTCCTCCTCTATTATAATTAGATATAGTAGATACGAGAAGCTTACTTACCCTTAGATTCTTCCTCTTCTTCTAGATCGTCTTACTCTTTCTTAAAGAGGTCTTTAGTAGGTATAACTATAGGAAGATAAATACCGAAGTCGTCGAAAGGATAATTTTAATTATTCTCCTAGTAATACTACTCGTATACTTTACGCTAAGTATAAAACTCTTTATTAGTATTATAGTTATCGTTAAGAGGATAGAGAAGGGCTAGATATTAGATATTATATAGGTAGTATAGGATAACCTTATTATAATTATAGTCCTCGTACGTACCGTCGTTTTCTTCTAAGTTACTATATTATATAGAGAAGTAATTAATTAGCCGGGGTTTTACTCGTAGTTGTAATTTAAAGGTACTAAAGTCCTAGGAAGTTAGGAATTTAAAGAGAACTTTAATAGGTATAAGTTGCGTAAGTAGATAAGACTTAGTAAAACTAAATTTCTTAGAGCTAGTACTAAGGCAGTAAATATACCTTAGTAAAGATACCTTACCCTATATAAAAATCTCTCTAGCCTACTTACTATATCGCTTAACCTTTACCTAGTACTAAAGGAGCCGATAATCGAAGCTTTAATTAAATAGTACGAGTGCCTTAAGATAGTACTATAGAAGGCCTAAAAGCTAATTAGTAGTAAGCCTTCCACACTAACATATCGCGCTTACCGATAAGCTTATTTCTTATCCTAGTAAGAAAGGAGACTATAGGGCGGTTAGAAATCTATAACTACGGATCTAATTCTCGAGTAATAGAGTACTACTATACTTCTCTACCTTAGTAAGGGTACCTTTTAATACTGGTCTAGTGGGTGTGGGTTTGAAGCTGTGTTACGTCTAAAGTAAAGCTAGAGATAGTAATAGAAGCTAATAGTAATAGATTTCTAAAATTACTAAAAAAGGTAAAGATAGGAAGAGACGTAAAGCTAAGAAGATAAGATATTATAAGACTCCCCCTCTTCTTTACGTACTACTAAATTTACGCGAGGAGTACTAGATTTCTAGTATTATAATATTGTTTCGGGAATATCTTCGGCTTTCGATCTGATTAGACCTAGCGTCGAATGGGAGCGGCGAATCTCATACAAATGTTAGATAGTGTGGAAGCATTGCGTTCAGCTTCAGCGTAGGATTGTTTATAAAGGGAGAGAATGGCAGGATGCGAGGGGGAAGATCTGAGAGCGTGGATATGATTCGGAATCGGAATGCCTAATGGATTCCCAAACACGGGCAGATGTGCCATCTTGCTTGCTGAGGATTTACAGTCAGGTGGGGTGGGGTTACATACACAGCTTGAGCTTGAATGAACCATCCTCAGGATTTTTCTCGATATCGATCAGACAGACGCTTCTTCCTGCTCTCCCCATACATCCATCAGACCTTCTTCCCACTCTCCTCATGCATCCTCACCTCTTCCGCAAACCATCCCTCCGCCTCCTGCACACTCGGATCCAACTCGCCCCGATTTGCCCTCTCATAAAGACCGGCCACAAACTCCTCCCCCCAAACAAACTCCTCCGCCTCCTTCTCCCCCATCTCGTGTCCCTCGACCAACGCGCCCTTCACGCGGATCTGCTCCTTCTCCATGCCCAAATGCCTCAGCCGTCCCCTCATCAAAACGTCCCACTCACTCCTCCGATTCACATCAAACTTTCCCTCTTCCCAGACGAGCTGGATATTCTCGCCCAAAGCCGCCAAACGGGGGAGTTTGCGGAGGTACACGACGTCGCTGGGCCAGACGTACTGTAGAGGTCCCATTTCTACGGAGTAGACCATTTGAGCCATGAGTTCGGAGGATAGCAAAGGGTAGTCTTTTTCGAGGGCGTCGTAGACCCAGTGGCCGGTGTCGGAGGAGGGGCCGAGGGCGAGCGGTTTGTGGGTGGAGGTGGAGGGGAAGATGCGGTCGGGGCCTGGGAGGGGGGGTTCGGGGGTTGCTTCGGGTTTGATGTAGGGTGATGGGGAGCGGAGGAGGGAGAGGAGGGGGTCTTGGTGGGTTTCCATTGGGAGTTCGAATGGGGCTGGCGATGGGTGTGCGGATTGTTGAAGTTTGCGGTCGTAGTGGGCAATTGCGGCGTCCAGTTCGGCGTCGGACATGAAGATGCGTTGACGGTTGTGGTTGCTTGATGTGTCGGGTGCGGCTTCACTTTCGACCAGCTCACCTGCCTGCTCAAGCTGATCTTGTAGAGCGTCACAGTCGTGCCTTCCTACCGCGCCACGAGTACAGAATTGCTTGCGGCAGTGCATGCATGGGACATGAGTCTGCCCTCCACGTTTTGCTGTTTCTCGCGCCGCCGCCTCCAGGTGACCGTCAAGCGTGTGCTTCTTGTTCGCAGCGTATTCGCAGGGCGTGTTGGGGCAGATGAATCTTCGCTGGTCGTAAGGGACGCCTGGATACGATTGCTTGCTGGCTGGAGTGAGCTCTTCCTCGTCGTCTTCCTCTCTCTTTCTGCGTCGAGATGGAGTTTGGGGGAAGAAAGAAGGAGCGGGATCGACGAAAGGATCTTCCAGCAGTCCACTGCCGTCGATGCCAGTCACATTGCGTGACTGACGTGCGCGAGATGACGTCTGCTGCGGCGGCGTCGTGGTCGCTGGACGCGCCTGCTGTCCGTGACGTGCGTAAAAGGCACGAACAAACTGGTGATGCTGCTGAGCTGTGATGGCGGCGGTGATCTCCTCCAAGACATCCGCATCAAGTGGCTGACTGTTTCCAGCTGCTACTCGTTGCTGCACTGGCCCGCCACGAGTAGCGACGTGGCGACCGTTGTTGACATGCAGGCCCAGAGCGCGTTCATGCTGCTGCTGCGCTTCAATGATGGCATCAATGTCGTCCTCACCGTCTCCGCTGGGTGGCTTGTCGTGTGGAGCTGTCGGACGCTTGGCAGCTGTCGCATTCTGCTGACCATATCTGGCATTGAACTCTGGAGCGAATGCTTGCCGCTGCTCCTCCGAAAGCACCGCCTGGCCACCAGTCGTGCCTGGACCACGCAAGCCCAGAGCGATCTCATGCTGCTCCTGCTCCTCAATAATCGCATCAATATCATCATCCTTCGCTTCGACAGATGCCCGTGTGTGTCGATGCGCATTCCGATGCCCATACCGCGCATTGAACTCTCTCACAAACTCCGCCTGCTCCTCCGCCGAAAGCTTCGCCTTCCCCTTTTCCTTACTCTCGCTGGTCTGGCCCTCGCCGTGCAGAATTCGAGCTTGATGCCGCCAAGCGTTATGTCCGCCATACTGGGCATTGAAATTCTTGACATATTCCGCAATGCGACGCCGCCTCTCTTCCTCGCCCTCCTCCTCCTGCTTTCCCTCACACTGATGCCTTGTCTTACAACCTCGAGTACACCACTTCTTTCCACAATCTTGGCATTCCACCAACTTGTATTCCTGACCCATTCTATCTCTCTCGCCTTGAGCTCGAGCCAGATGCAATTTCAGGTCTTTGGGGTAGACGGCACCGTAGTCGCAGCCTTCGACAGGGCATGCGTGGATGCGCTGCCGGTCCTTGTAGGGAGAAGGCATTTTTGTGTGTCGAGTCGTTGCATCGATGTTGGTGGGGATGGGCTTCGAGTGGAGATGTTTTGGTCTTCTTCTGCTTCATCGGAAGGTGCGAGATGTTTTTGGTTGCCATGGTGATGTTTTGCTTCTGAGACTTCAGAATTCACCGGAGCGGAGAGGTGAGTTCACGGGCTTGCTGGAAGGACCGCGACTTCACATGCTGATCGGAGAAGGTGACAATGTGCTAGCCTGTGCGAGGGCGTTGCTGTGAATCGATATGGTATCCACACCTCATTCGCTGTGCTTTCACCACTTCGCCCTCCATCACACCAGTCGATGAGAGCCAGCAGCTTTGCTTCATCCAAGTACGAACGGCACGCGTGGTCCACGGATCATGTAAACGGCATCATCGCTCCAAGCCCCAACATCCCATGTCCTGCTTCGTAGTGAAGAAGCTTCAACCTCTGCATGCAAGTTGAAGAACTGATTTGCTTCTTCCTGATCAGGAAGGGCTTTCGACGCTTCCATGCTTGGCTTGAGCCTGCCATAACGCGATCAAGAATGCTACAAAGGCGCTGAAGCTGCGCCAGTGCTGAGCGATATCGTTCGCAGCCCTTTCGTAGTTTGGAATGACAAGAGGGACAGACTGGGTACTTCCAGCCGACTCAAAGGCGAATGTTTATTTGCACAAATGTGGCCTTTAGCAGCACCAGCACTCAAGAAGTCAACGACCCCGAATGAATATTCTTGACCATCTCGCCATCCAATCGGCATGTATGGTGAGCATTGAAATTTCTCTGCCAGTGTGGCCATGGTGGTCAGCCTGCCTGTTGTAGGTGCCAAGGACGGCACAATGAAAGTTGCAGAACAATGCATGGTGCAGAGTTCTTTGTTTTTGCGGTAAAGAAAGCCAGGAACGAGAGGACCAGGGAGGGAGCGAGAATGTGAAAGATACCTTGGAAGTCACGGTGCGAAGGAGTCTCATCGATAACACTGAGAAGGTGGCCTCGCCAGAATCAATGCAGCAGGGCTTTGATTCGTCATCCTATGGAGCTCAGCTTGACCATTCCGCCATCATAGGTCGGTTTCGTTGACATCCAGATCCCAACGCCAGAGAGATATTAAGTCCATCGAGTCATGCAAGTCCAGCCAAAAAGAAAACTCTCTCCTGCTCGAGTCGCTCCAAAAAGGTCCGGCCAGTCTCTCGTGTATTTCGTATCCCATCCCGGCCCGCCCTAGTGCTTTTGATGATGTCAATCCTAGTTTCTGCGGAACGATGATTTGAACTTCGAGGTTATTGGAGCGCTAGAGACGAAGTCGCGTTCCAGCTCTGCTCTTCGCCCCACTGTTTCGATATAGGATCCTCGATGGTGTTGCATGCCAGCTGAAGAGCCTTAATCGTCGCGTGAGCGCTTCGTCAAGCCATCGCCATGCGCGTTCGCATCCTCAGCATGTCGCTTGTTCACGCCAGAAGACTTGGGCATGGGCTGCTGCTTGGCTGCCGGGCGGACCCTAGCCTTCGTCGGCGTTACATCGTACAGCTCATCCTCGTCATCTTCCCACAGCGAAGTCTGTTCTGGCGTCTCGCCTTCTGGTCTGACGAGATCGACAACGTCGTCCGTTGGTCGAGTGCAGCTGCGTAGATCCCAGTTGGTAGCCCAGGCCCAGTCGCACGGGAACGTGGAGAAGACCTTTTGCTGTATGACGGCTTCGGAGTGCAGAATAAAGAGTCGCGTGCCAGGCACGACGGTTCCGGAGGCTCCATTCGGATACTTCATCGGCATTGGGGCAACGACCAGAACTTCTGGCGAGAAGTTGGCGCGAGCGGCCTCGCTGATGAAGTGGCTCACTTCGATGCGAAGAGACTCGAAGGTGTAGATCATGGAATCCATGTTGAGCAGATAGACAGAGGGGCTCTCGACACAGTGATATTGACAGCGGCCAAAGTTGACTCGCTTTCGATGTAGCAGTGGGTGTGCGTTGCGTGGCGGATGCCGACGAAGAAGTCAAGATAGAAATTCGATCGCAAGGTGTGGGAGAGTATGTCTTTGGAAAAGGAAGTCAAGCATGGTGTCGGAAGATATCCAGGGTCCAGAAGTCACGTGGTGGCGAGTGAATGACTGAGGAAGGCGCGCATAGTCACTCGAGTTTGGCGAGCCGTGCTCTGATGAAGCATAATGAGGTCGCATTCACATCTCACCAGAACCAGCATCCGCTATGGGTATCCAGAAGCCAGGGAGGGCTTGGAGCAAATGGCTTTGCATTCGGGTCTATTTATCTACTCCAGTACAATGTACTTTCTCAAATGCTCGGGCACAGCATCGAGCAGCTTCTTGCTTTCCAACCACTTCTTGCTGAAGAGGCGATCCGCATATCTGTAAGCACCATCGCACAAGATAGTCACGACGGTATGGCCTGGTCCCATCTTCTCTGCAACATCCTTTGCAGCGGCGACGTTCAAGCATGATGACGCTCCAAGGTAGAGACCTTCTTCATCCAGGCATCGGTAGACCATTTCTATGCTCTTCTCGTCGGCAATGTGCAGAGCGCCGTCAAGCAGGTCGATGTCCGGCTTGAGATTGTCTGTTACGCGACCTTGACCGATACCTTCGGTGATGGATGAGCCACTTCGGTCGATGAGCTTGCCGCCAGATGAGATGTATGTGTAGAGGACTGATCCAGGAGGGTCGGCGAGATAGCACTTGACGCGGCCATTGGACACAGTTTTGAGGTAGCGCGTCATGCCTGCGATAGTACCGGCGGTCCCAGATGCGCAAGTGAAAGCATCGATTTTGCCTTCCGTCTGCGCCCAGATCTCGGGTCCGGTGGTCTCAATGTGTGCCTGTCTGTTGGCGGTGTTGTCGAACTGATTAGTCCAGACTGCATTTTCTAGTCTCTCTGCATGTCGCTTGGCCTGGTGATTGTAGTTCTCTGGGTTGTCGAATGCCACAGCAGGCACAGGATATACCTCAGCACCAAGCAGTCTCAGGAGATCTATCTTGCCCTGCGACTGGGTATTCGGCATGTAGATGACCAGCTTGTAGCCTTTGCTTCTGCACACATGCGCCAAACCAATGCCAGTATTGCCAGCCGTTCCTTCCACCACAGTTCCACCAGGTCGCAGCAGTCCCTTCTCTTCGGCATCTTTCACCACGTATAGAGCCGCTCGGTCTTTCACTGATCCACCAGGATTCTGAAATTCTGCTTTGCCCAGCACTTCGCATCCAGTCTCGGCAGATATCTTATTCAAGCGAATGAGAGGCGTGTTGCCGATAGCTGAGGCGCTGTTTATCAGTCTCAGCGATTACACTGCATGATGGGCAGGCCTGTGCTTACCAGAGACAAGACCATCCTTTGCGACTCTCTGCGCCTTGGAGATCTCGATGTGCCTGGAAGCCATGCTGTCGATCTTGGAAGCGTCAATCGTTGATGCCTGCCGTATGCCTATGCCTCTCACTACTGCAGGCTTCGATATTGCCCGCAATGCTGTTCTTGCGAACATTGTGCCTGCTGCTTCCGATGGCGCCAAAATGCAGGTGAATGCGATCTTCAGAGGCAGGCTACATTGAGTTTCGGCAAAAGCGGGACGGAGTGGCGTCATTGGTTGCAGGGTCTTTCGCGGGTTCTCTGTTTACGCGTGGAGTAAACAAATCCTCGACAGTGACAACCAACATCAACGACCGTATCATACACAACGCCCGGCGCCCAGCAATACCTTGAACGAAGTCGCAATATACCAGCGCACTCACACCGCTTGATCGGGGTTATTGCAGACGGAATTCTGCTCGCAGTCCACACAAGGGCACTTGCGACGACAAAAAGCACCCAGCGACGCCAACAACAAACAGACCACCGACATGCCCGGACGAGTCGCAAGCGGTCGTCGAACCGTCTCATCAAAAGCGAGCGCCAAATCCCTGCGGAACTCATCCCACGATACCGAAATACCAGACGAAGGCGCAGATTCGTCCCTCCGCCAAGCGATATGCATCGTGTTCGCAGATGCGCAGAAGTCTACCGCGGGACACAGAAAGGCGACGATCAGTTTGCGGAAAGTGCAGGAAGCATGTTGCTACGAGCCAGTGAACGCGAAGAAAGGAAAGCAGAGTGAGGACTTTGAGGAAGATGATTTCAATCGCGAAGTTCTTCGCTGCGTGTTGCGCATTCTCCCAGTCAAGAAGGCAGAGCCGGTGGGAGATCGCGTGGTACGTTTCTTAGGCACTTTCCTAAACGCTGCGAGTGGCAAGGATATCGAGATTGCTCAGCAAGATGAAGATATGGAGGAAGGTGTACTGCTAGAGACACCAACAACGCGACTTACAACACAGCTGCTGGAGATGCTTGTGCCTTTGATGCGCGCCAAGGATAAGACGATCAGATTCCGTGCGACCCAAATCACCAGTCACGTCATCAACAGTCTCGATACGCTGGACGATAATGTCTTCCACAAGCTGAGGCAGGAGCTGTTGAAGCGCATTCATGATAAGGAAGCGCCGGTACGGCTGCAAGCTGTGTACGGTCTAGGCCGACTGGCGCAAGAGGTAGATGCCGACGAGGAGGAAGATTCTGATTCCGAGGACGATGGTGCGAAGACTGTCTTGACAAAGCTCCTCAATGTCCTCCAAAACGACCCATCAGCAGAAGTGCGACGGAACCTCCTGCTCAATCTACCCATAACAAAGCAGACGCTACCATATCTTTTGGAGCGAGCAAGAGATTCAGATGCGACCACGCGAAAGGCATTGTACGGAAAGCTGCTACCTGCTCTCGGCGACTTCAGGCATCTGAGCTTGTCGCATCGAGACAAGCTGCTTCGTTGGGGCCTCCGCGACCGAGACGAGAACGTACGCAAATCGACTGCGCGTCTCTTTTGCGAAAGATGGATTGAGGACTGCGCCGCTCTTCCTGCTGCACAAGCTGCTGAGCAGGAAGATGGCGAGATCAAGCCAGCTGATCAAGCCGCTGTACCTTCCTTGGACGCTCTACTGGAACTGCTAGAGCGCATCGATGTCATGAATAACGGCAATGAAGGAGGAATTGCACTTGTCGCCATGCGCGAGTTCTGGGAGGCACGGCCTGACTATGTCAGCTACGTCTCCTTTCCCGATACTTTCTGGGAAGATCTATCTCCAGAATTGGCCTTCGTTGCCCGCACCTTCAACGAGTACTGCCGCAACTCGACTTCCGGCCCTCGCGACTTGACAGCGCTTGCTGATGAGAAGCTTCCTGAGGTGACCAAGTTCGGCTTCCTCCTCGAGCGAGAAATACAGAAACTGGTCCAGGCCACGATCGCGACAGCCGCCACGGAAGACGAAGATGCGGAAGAAGAACTTGCACAACGCGAGTTCGTGGTAGAGAACATGCTCCAGATGTCCCTCACCTTCGACTACAGCGATGAGGTTGGACGCAGGAAGGTACTTGGTCTTATGCGAGAGGCGCTTTCATTAGCAGACCTTCCGGAGGAGGTCACTCGTCTTGTGGTTGAGAATCTGCGCCTCGTCTGCGGTCAGAATGCTACTGGCGAGCGCGAATTCTGCAGTCATGTCTTGGAAGCCATTGCCGAAGTTCACGATACCATCATGGGCGACGTTGACGATGAGCCCGACAGTACTGAAGAAAGCTTCCATTCTGCTAATTCTGAGATCGATGTTGACGATGACACGATCGTGGTCGCAATGAAGAAGGCGAAAAAGCAGGCTGATCAGGATCCCGAAGCAGCGGAGCAGAAAATTGTCAAGGAGATTATGGTCAACATGAAGTGCCTCCACATTGCCTTGTGCATGTTACAAAACGTGCAGTGCGACTTGGAGGAGAATCCACACTTGGTCACGATGCTCAACAACCTGGTTGTGCCTGCTGTGAGAAGTCAAGAGGCACCGATTCGAGAACGTGGCCTCATGTGTCTTGGACTGTGCTGCTTGCTCGGAAAGGTAAGATGGGAGCCGTTCATTACGATGATCGAGACGTATACTGACGAATTTCTACAGAGGGTTGCGCAGGAGAATCTGACGCTCTTCCTGCACTGCTTCAACAAGGGCTCGCCAACACTGCAAGCGACGGCGCTACAGATCATCACCGACATCCTGATCGTCCACCCTACACTGCTTGCTGCTCCCGAGGGCGATGAATGTGGTCCATTAAGCGATCATCTCAAGCCTCTGCTGAAGGCATACAGGTCCTCAATCAGATCTGAGGCCCCAGAAGTTCAAGCGATTGGCGCTTCGGCTTTGTCGAAGGTGATGCTACAGCGCCTGGTCACCGACACAGATCTGCTTCGACAACTCGTGGTATCTTACTTCGATCCAGACACAAAGAACAATGCTTCCCTTCGCCAGAGCTTGTCGTACTTTTTGCCGGTGTACTGTCATTCGCGAACAGAGAACGCAATGCGCATGGCTGAAGTCGCGACAAGTGTCATTTCGAAGCTGCAGACGATCGAGACTGCGCTTCGTGATGACGATGACGAAGATGCCGACCCAGAGGCAGCTGATAATCTCATCTCTCTGACAGCTGTGGCCAATATGCTCCTTGACTGGACCGACCCAAGGAAGGTTCACGGCTTCAGTGAGGCTGTCAACGATGCTGCCGTCGCAAGAGGCGCCGGCGAGACACACTACGTCCTAGCTGAGAGCATCCTCGACCGCCTCGTCGTCAAGCCAGATAAGGAGAAGAAGGTCCTATTCAGTATGCTCAACAAGCTCCACCTCCCAGCTGGCGGCGCACACCGCGATCGACTCGATGCAATCCTCAAGCTCATCGCCGAAGTCGAAGACGTCAAAGCTGCGACTGATGCGACGAGCAAGAACGTCCTGAAGAAGCTCCAGGCTACACTGCTCAAACACATGCACGACATCACCACTGAAGAGCGCGGAGGTGGCGATACTGTTCTGGAGTCAACCGAGCTCGCTGATCAAACCGAGCTTGTCGATGTGACACAGGCTCCCGGCGCAGACGAAGAGGAGGAAGATCAGGATTCAGACGTCACGCAATTGCAACAAGAATTGGATGCTACTACGATTGGTTTCACCGCTGGTGTTCCTGATGCTGAAGGTACGAGGATCCAGTTGGGTGATGAAAGTCTTATGGGTGACTCGGAGATGATGGATGTTGATGGTTGATGAATGGTTTTGTAATTTCTGATCGGAGTTTGGGGGGTTTGATACCACTGATTATTATACATTGTGCAAAGTGAATTGTATGGATGTTTCTCGTGTGCAACTTGATCTCATGCTTTTCACTACACGGATGCTCATCGACGCTCACCAGTTTGCCTAGGAAGAATTCGAGGAAGTCAAGACGTCCCGCTCTCTGGCCCGAAGATCTTTCTCTTCTTCCTCGTCCCAGTCTTGCGATTCAGTCTTGAGCCTTTGCCGGTACGGTTGAAGAACGACAAACCGATGAGACGGATCCGTGTATAATTGCTTTTGATTTGGAAACTTGAGGCGGCAGGATTGCGTATGGATTTCCGCTGTCGTTTCTTGATGCTTTTTCAGGGGTTATGATGATTTTTTTTTTGAGAAAGAGCGCGAAACTTTGGGGTGGTGTTTTGGATACGGGGAAGGGAGTTACGTGGCGATTGGAGGAGTGTTGGATTTCTTTTGATGTATATGTGCGTGGATTATGGATGCTCGCTCGCGTTACTGATACTTCTCTTTGGGAGTGATGAGTAGTCCTTGCCTCCTTTGTCTTCTAGCTCACTGTGCATACTCTTTGGGCAGCATGGACTTTCAGCCACCACAAGCTAAACTTCAAGAGCTGAATTTCTCGTCTTTCCGCCCCATCTCCATGATCTTGTCATACAATTCACCCAATGTCCACTCTACTTCAATGCGGAACTTCTTGCGGAACAACACAACTCCATCCACCGTTCGTCTCATGACGTGGAGAGTCACAGCATTCCTTCCAGCCGGCATGACAGGATACTTGCGCCACGATGCCCAAGGGCTGTCATCGAGCTGCAGATCTCTTTTAGAGATTAACATGATGGTGGGTAAGTCGCGAGTCTCCGCGAGACCGAACCTTCCGCAAGCAATACTCAACCAAATGAGGCGGTCGGGGCAGCCGGCAACTGTGGGTCCTATTCGCAAGCTCGTTGGTGCAAAGCAAAGGGCTTGAATTCGCTTAGAGTTTACGATGGTCGCGTGGGTATGACGGTCGATGCGTAGGAGACGGAATGGGTCTTCAATATATCTGCGATACATGATTTTGCGCTGGGGAGTGTTGGGGGCGGCTAATGGGCTTCTAATCTCTGATGCGATGAATTCGAGCACAATCTTTTCGAATAGCTCGGGAATAGCGAAGACTCGAGCTGCGGAAGATGGAGGAGATGTGGCGGCGGCGACGGGATTGGCCATCTGGTGTAGTGTATTTGGTCAGCTCTGCACCAAGCGCGTTGAGTACGATATTGTGCCTACCTTGGGCTTGTGTGATGGCTTTGCGTCCGCGAACGTGTCGTGTGGATTCCGATGAGAAGTGCGAAAGGAGTGCACAGAATGTTCGGCAAGAGTGGAGAAAGCTTGGCCAAAGGTCTTGGCGATCACATGCAAGATTTCTGCTCCTGACCTTATGCGGTTGCAAAGTTGAATGCAGAAAAGGGTGTTATAACATGAATCAAGCTTCGCTGCTGAATTTGCTTTCTCTCTCACTGTGTGCGAGCTGGCTTTAGTTTGATGTTCCGGAATCCGCATACAGGCAATTTCCATACGGTATCCAGTGAGTGAGCAGCGCAAATCGAACTTGGAAAATTTTCTTGAGACCTAAAGCATCGCTCTAAAATAAGGTCATTTTGAATACAGTGCTCTCATTGCCCCTTCATGGTGCTGTATTTGCTGCAGATGAGAGCGCATGCTCATGGGCTGACGTATGAACCACTTAGGTTATCGCCTTCGTCTCGCGTCTTCATCCATCCCAAACCAATCGTGATAGTATTCCATCCCTCAGAGCTTGTAGCCCAGATCTCATTTGCCTCCAATCGCGATCATCTCCTCGTAGAGCTCTCCTAGAGTGTAGTGCTCATTGATCTGTACCTGCTTTGATCTTAGAGCCCCGGAACTGCAGAATTCACTCTCCACAAGTAAAATCTCATGTGAGGCGACGCCCTTTGGAAGGCATGTGACTTGTCGCCATGATGCTTCACCGTGGACCGAGATTGCATCGCGTCTCCTATTGTCGCAATCCGAACCATGAATTTCTACCTCGTTGTACTTCGTGTTGATTGAGCCGATCAGGCCACCTACGACGTCGAGCCACCAGATTCTATCCAGTGGAGTTTTGATTGGAGAGACGAGCCCAGGAAAGCGTTGTGTGAGAATTTCATCTCGGATCTTGCTGGAGCCGATGATGACTTGGTTGAAGTCGCGGCTGACTCTCTTGAGGGCGAACGAATCCATAATGTAGTTTTGGCGGTCGCGCTCCAGCAAAGGATCCGCATAGCGTGCGCATGGATAATCTGGACTGCGCATGACTTGAAGAATGATGTGCTCGAGAAGCTCGGGAATCGCGAACACTCGCGCTGCAGCTGAAGGCGTGGTCATTGTGGACCACTTGAGTGCTGTAACTTCATTTCTTTGTTAGCGCCAGCCGATGCAACGATACTGCTTTACTGATGCGACTTACCTTGGCTTAGTCCGGTGTTGACAGCGCTTGTGTCTTGAAGCGAGTATGCGGACTTTCGTTGAAGCTCGGAGGGTGTAAAGCGGAAATGATGGCAAAAGCCAAACTGAGAAAAGAGCGGTAACGTATTAGCTTGGCTTGGCGTTCACATGCGCAACACGATTCGGGGGCAGAAGTCGCAATTGAAGCATTACAAACTGAAAAAAAGTGAGTCACAAGTGCTTTCTCGCAGAGTTTAAGGGACTTTAAACGCCGAGTCTAAGTCCTTCTAATCTAGCCTTATTTCAATCTTTTCGCGGAGAAATGTATCTTAAACCTATAGTTATTAATTAGTAAATGGCAATAATCACTAGTTACTATAATCATATGTAATTATGATTATAATTATTAAGTAACTAGTAATTATAATTACTAATTAGTCGGCATTTCTAAGGTAATACTAGGGTATATATTATACCTATATAGGGTATTAAATTTATACTGTTTCTACCTATTTCTATACTATTTCTATAGACAATAATATACTCGCAATAGGCGCCTTTTATTAAGAGGTAAGTAAGTAAAATCCGGGTATAGAATATCGCTAATTCGGATAGGTTGCTAAGTTAGTATCTTTTAATAAAGATATCTTACTATCGCCGCTATTATAGACTTCCGATTAATCGACTAAGGCCTTCTTAGTATTATAAGACTATCGTTTGCAGCTAATATATAAGGACCTAATAGCTGCTTATCTAACTCTTAGCTAAACCGACTATTGTATTAGTCCTACTTAGCTCTATTTCTAAGAAGCCGGTATTCTATCGTTTATCGACGAAGTAGCGTAGAACGACTTTAAGACATATATTAGCGAGGCCGAGAAGGAGAGTCTATAGCTACTATTCCGCCGGGTTATAAGGAAGACGATAAAGAGCCTTATATATACGCCGGAGATCGTTCGAAGGGCCGGAGAATATTAAGAACGTATAGTAGATAGCCTTCGAAGAGTACGTAAAGGTACAGACCGGAAGAGGAAGCGAATAGCGCTAGGTTCTCGTCGTTACTTTAAATTCGGTAGGAAGCCGTATTGCTACTTAGAAGCGTGCTTTCTTAGGCTAATAAGGTAGTATTCGAGGTAGTAGATATATTTTAAGGCTCGGATCGATAAGGTACTATACCGCTTAATCGTAGTAAGGTCGCTAGCAGTAGCGAGGTTAATATAGAAGATTTAGTGTAAAACTAGTCGTAGATTAGTATTCGAGCTTGCTATCGTACCTGCCTAAACCGCGAAGATTACGTTACTTTAGTACCTTAGGGTCTAGTAAAGCCGAATATATAGGCTTCGCTTAGAGCGGATAGCGAGGGCCGTATAGCTTAGTACCGCACTAGCAAACTTAAATCTTAAGCTTTTATTGTTTAAACTAAGATAGCAATACCTTTGCTATACGAGACAACCTACGTAAGAAGTATAAACCGACTTAGAAAGTACTAGAAAATTATACCAATACCTAAGGATCGTATTAGGAAACGCAGGTTCTAGATCGGATACTATTCTATAAAGATTCGAGCGATCTAAGCGATTTACTAACCTCCGAAGCTAATATACCGCCGTCTCTAATACTAGATAAACCGGATCTAGATACCTTATTCCTCTAAGAGTCTAGCACTTCTATACGGCTATTAACCTCGCAGTTATTATCGAATATACTAGCGCCTACTCTCGCCGAGTTAAAGAAGCGGAAACGATATAGAAACTAGCTAGATCCGGCGTTATAGGAGCATTCTAGACCTCTAAGAGATAGTAAACCTCTAAAAGTCGATAGAGGTAGGTATAGGGTATTCTACTATAGGCACTACGAAGACAACGACCCTAATCGATATAGATCTAGTTCTAGTAACGCACCCTAGCACCTAGCGAAGAAACACTTTATCTACGTTAGCATTAAGAAGTAGAAGCGCAACAGCATATACGAAAAGCAGTCGAGGATTAATCTCTCTTTATTACAGAAGCAATAAGGCACTATCGAAGCGGATAAGACTATTAACATTCTAAAGAACGCCGCGGACAAGAACAAGTTCAGACACACGCTCGCTCGCTATACGACTACTAGTAGTACTACTTACAATGCCCTAGTTACGAAGGAGTTTAAAGAGATAATACTTACTATTAATCCTTATACTAAAGAGGCCCTTCTTAAGAGCTATACTTCGCTATATCCTCGCATTCTATATAACTTCGAGAGCTAGCGAGAACGTATTAAATAGGCTCTATAGGTAGCGCTTAGCTGTCTTTACTTCTATATTAATACCTAGAAGTTATAGTACGGCTATAAGTTCTTCTAAGCTATTAATTGCTAGTATATTAGCGCATACGGACAAATAGTTTAAATACTGCTAGATATGCTATAATTGCCGCCTAGTTCTTATATAGGCGACTTCCTCGCGGAGAGCGTTATTCTAGCCTTCTTACCCTTCGAGATAGTAGGCAAACTAGGCTAGATAACGACTAATAGCGGCTCTAACAATAGCACTCTCGCTCTTGCTATTAAGCGCTTTATAGACTCGTAAGGGCACTCTTACTAGAAGAACTATCGGCTGCGCTATATTAGATACATCCTTAACCGTATAATAATAGCCTTTATATTTACTAAGGATATAGAGGCTACTAAGAGTAAGGAGTTTAATTAAACAGTAATTAGCAACGATAGCGATAATATTACTATCTCTAGGTAGCTCGATATAGACGTAGAGTCCTTTATTAAGTAAGGTCTACTATAATAGCTATTCGAACTCGCTAAGCTTCTACGTAAGAACGATAACAATAATATCTTCTAAGAAGTCTATAAAGCGTAGCCTTAATTGCTATATATAGTGCCAAAGATCCCTAGTAAGATACGCTAGAATAGTTAGCTTCTACTAATCGAAGAGGCTATTTAAACGAGGCCTATCTTAAACACCTTCTTCGATAGAATACCGCACCTACGCGAGTTTAGCTTATCGGACGACGATTAGAAGGTCCTTGTCTATACTAGGAGGTTCCTTAACCCCTTTAAAGAGGTTACTCTACGGCTCGAAGGCTACGCTATTATATTCGATATATATTAAGAGTCTATAGAATACTTAAGAGGCTACACTACTCGCTTAGCTAATAAGAACGAACGTAGAATAGTTCTTATTCGATCGATCGATCTAGTAAGAACGCTATTCGATAAGTACTATATACTAAACTAGAAGAACCCTCTCTACGTTACTATAGTATTACTATACCTAACTCGGCGACTTGCCTAGCTAAAAGGCCGCTCTATAGTAGACGTAGATACCTTACTATTATATACTAGAGCGCTCTAGATTAAGTATAAGATACGCTTCGGAAAGAGCCGTTAACTATAGTCTACGCCGTAACGGTCGTTTAAAGGGCTCTCGGACCTAGAACGCTAGTAGATTAAGTCTTAATATAAGAAGGGTATATTAGTAGGTAGATAGGGTAGTAGTAGGTATAAGTAGTATTCGATAAGGATCTAGGAGAAGAGGGAGGAAAGTAGGAGAGTTAGCCTATTACTAAGCGCTAAGCCCTGCCTAAGGCATTAAGACCCTAGCTTCACTCGAGCCTAGTTATATACTAATTACGTATAACCTCTTTAGTCCTAATATACGCTTCCCTTCTAAAGGCTACGCCCTCGTAGCTAGTCTATATTCTAATCTCAACCTCTATTGCTACTAACTTAGCAAATCTAATAAGCTGCTTAGCCGCGCTAAATTAAACACTTAACTACCTAATTATATAACTATATTAAACCTTACCTTCTAATATAATATCTAACTCTAACTGCGCTATCCTTATATATAATAAAGTAATATATAACTACGAGAATTAAGGACTATCGACTAATTACAATACGAGCGCGCCTTCCCTACTATAATAGGTAGGCGTACGAGGTATTATAGCACTGTCTCTGTTCTAAGTAATATCGTATCGAGTTCTTTGCGTCTACTCTTAAAAGACCTAGCAATGTCCGCTCCCGAGGGTTGTTCTTATTATTACTAGGGCTATTATTTACTATCGTAGTTTCGCTAGCCCTAATTAGTTAGGTTTAGTAGCCTTTAATTATTAATCTTATCTTGTCTTTTTAAAAAACACAGTTCGTCTAGTTTCTATAAGTAAAGGCTATTATAAGTATAATAGTTAAGGTTTGCTTTACTTAAAGGATCGGAAAGATCGAGGAGTAACCTATTATCCGCAAGATCGACCCCGGCTAGCTTAGCTCTATAGTTTTTGCCCTTAGTTAGTCTATTAGTCGCTTAATCTTTTAGGCGGCTCTTAGTGTTTTAACTTAGCCTTAAAGTTTTAATTAAACCTTTAATATAGCTATTCTTTTAGCTTAACCGGTATAGTGCGCTCCGGCTTGTAGTATAGGTAAGGTTAGTAATAGTAGCGAGCAGGTAATATTAATAATAGCGGCGCTAGCCGTCTTAGCGCTAACTTTACCTTACTTCTAATTTCCTTCTTTAACTAACAACAACTCGGCAATACCGTTACTAATATAGCCGCGCCGGCCGCCGGCATACTACTAGCTCGTAGCGTAATACTATTATCTTTATTACCGTTATTCGTACGCGCGCGCGCGTATCGCCCTTATTGATCGCTTAGGCCTTAGGGCCTCGATAGAATAAAGGAATAAAAGGGGGCGCTAAGAGAAGGGTCTTATAGGGTGCGCTAGTAAAGAGGTAGATTCTATAGTAGTATAGTCTTGTTGTCCTTTATTACTAACAATTGCTTGCCTCTAATTAGTTAGCTAATAGTACCCCGGGGGTAGCATTAATCCTAGGCCTTTCTAGTAATATTATAGGCCCTTAGCCTTCTTCTTGTTCTTTATACTAGTCTAATACTTATCTAGTAACTTAGTTAGATCCTTAAAGGAGCCTTTAGCTTCCTACGAGTCCT